AGTTTAGCAGGGTCAGCGGACGCCCGGGCACCTGGCGCTGACCAGAGAGCCTTAGCTGAGCAGCAGGGCAGAGAGGGACGGCGTGGCGCCCCGGGCGACCCGGTCGGGGCTGGTAGCTAGCTCTGCTGTGCTTCACGAGTTCTGAGCGTTCTCTGCTAGCCTATGAAGCCGCAGCCCTCGGAGGACAGACGTGTTGTGCGCCCAACAGAAACCTCTGAGATGCACGCTGCTCCCTTGGCTAGCGCCCCTGTGCCGCTGGCCCTGTAACTCGAGGTAACATCTTCCGCTCGTGTCCGCATCCCTCCTTGTCCAGAGCTCTTTTGAAAGTACCTTAACTACCCGGGGAATGTTCCTTTGACTGCTTTTTGATTTTCCTTTTTTATTTCTACGTATTTTTGTACCGGGGATCGAACTCGGGTCCTTATGCTTGCGAGGCAGGCAGCGGAATCTCTGAGCTAAATCCCCGGGCCTTCTACTTATTTTTGTCATTCGGTGCCTCTGCACGCCAGGCCCGGTCCCACGCGGCGGGGACCAGCTGGGCCGCTAGGAGCTGTGAACGGTTCCTGGGCGGGGAGGGGCGTTCGGCCCGAGGGACTCAGGGTGACGCGGCTTTGCTTTGCAGGGTGACGAGACCCGGGCAGGACGCGGGGAAGGGCAGCCCTAGGGCGGTGATGACGGAAGAGTTTACGTCGCCAGAGGACTGCGGGGCAGGAGCCAGAGATCGTGGCCCCAGGCGCCCTGTAAGTGCTGGGGGCGGGGGCGCCGGGCGCTCCTGGTCCTCGCCCCCTGCTCACTGCCGCCCCCTTGCAGGACCCATTTTCCTGGCCGGGAGCCGGCGCCGAGGAGGAGCCGCCGCGGAATGGGCGGCTTGGACGGCCAGAGAGGAGAGGGGACAGAGAGGCGCCTGCCGGGACGGGGACGTTGGGATCTGAATAAAGACCCTTGTGACCAAAGCTCAGTGTCTGCTGTGGGTGCGGGGGTGGGGCTGGAAGGGCGACACCTGGGCCATCTGCGGCCACCCTAACCCTGACTTCGTCGGCTGGGGCCTGTAGGAGGGTGACAGCGGATGTAGGTGAGCAGCAGAGCCCTGGAATCCCGGCTTCCGCGGAGCCGCTGGCCC